ACCTGGGATGTCCTCAGAGGGTCTGTGTGGGTAGGGGTGATGGAGAAGAGAACCCTCAGTTTTGGTGTGTCCCCAGTGGGATGTCTCATGGTGGGTGTTGCTGGGGGCAGGCAGGAGGGCAGTGGGGCTGGGGCTGCCACGGGTGGAGCTGCTGCCCCAGGGAGCATAGGCTCAGGGGACAGCGTGGGGTTTAGGGGTGCCTGGCAGGCTTAGGGCATTTCCTGGGGATGGGGGTGCCGGGAGCAGGTTTCCCTGCTTGAGGGATCCTCTCCAGGAGCGCAGCGGAGCCCCGAAGCCGGTGGCCAGAGGTCTCTGGCACTGATGTCCTTGCTGGCTGCTCTGCAGATGGCTTCGGCAGCACGAGTGCGTGGAGAAGCTCAACATGCACGCCATCCTGAGCGCCTCCACGGGCCAGGAGCAGCTCCTCACCGAGCTGCTGGTCACCTACGCCAAGGTGAGCCTCCTTGGGTGCAGTAGTGGTCCCTGTGCCAAGCCGTCAGCCTTGAGCTGGGTTTGTCTTGTGCACAACTTGCAATTTTGGAATAAAATGGTGAAGAATCTGCTGTATCTCCAGCGAAAACATTTGACTAGTGGTTTGCCAGTGTTGCTTTTTAAAAAAATTAAAGGTCAAGCTGTGGTATTTCTACTTGCTGGTCTCTGGTTCCTCTCTGGAGGTTGCTTGGTTCTCTTTCACCAGCCCCTCCGGTTGCAGATTTCTGCCCTGTACCCACGGTGTTGCTGCCCCAGAACGTGCCGGGCTGCACCAAGGACGTGTGGTGCCCTGGATCTGCCCAGCTCCTCGGGGTCATCTTCCCCTTTCGCAGCCCCAGGAGCTCTCTCTGCCCTCTGGTCTGTTGGTGAAAAGCTGTTGATTTCTGAGCTGGGTGAATATAAAGACAGTGTGCCCCAAGGCTGTCCTCCTCCGTGGGATGACTCCAAAGTCTGTGTGGCTGAGCATTAGCCATAACTGGATCCCACTCCGGCACTGGTCTGAAAGGTTTCGCTCTCCCCGTCCCTTCCCTGTCTAGATTCCTGTTCTCATTGGGGAGCTGATCTCTGTGGAGATCTGGAAGCACAAGATCTTTCCTGTGCTGTGCCGGCTGGAGGACTTCAAGCCGAGAAGCACCTTCCCCATCTACGTGGTGGTAAGTAGAAGGGGCAGTGGGAATGATCCTGGAAATTGGGTGTGCACAGCTATGCTTAAAAATAAATCTCACCCTGAAGATCTCAGAGCTGGGGTTTTACATCTCACTAGGCTGAGAAGGTGCGGTGGACAGTGTGACACGGTGGGAAGCACCTGGTTTCCCAAAGCCACAAGCAATGAGCCTGTGTCCTCGTCCCCAGGAGGGATAGGAACCCGCTGCCAGGGGAGCTCAGCCCCATGTAGGGCTGCACCCCTGCCTAATCCCACTGAGGGGCTTGCCGGAGCTGCTGGATGCAGCAAAAGCCGCTCCTGGAGGTGGCTGCGCTCCTAGCTTGCAGCTCCCAGCAACTTGGTGCTACCCTGGCTCCCAGGCAGCAACACCCCTGGGGTATTTGCCCCTCTTTGAGCACTGATTTTCTCTGGCACTTCTAACCAGAGGGCTCTCCGAGGTTAAAAAAAACATACCTTTTTCTTACCAAGCTCCTGGGAGCAGCAGTCCCTTGGGCCATTCTTGGCAAGGGAGCAATCTCAGGAGCTCGGCTTCCATGTGGAGGCATGCAGCCCTTGACCTAAGGGTATCTGCCCGAGACTTGGAAGTTTTAGCCCATTTTCAGTCCAGGGTAACACTTTGCTGGGGAAAGGTGGTGTCTTTCCTGGGCAGCCGCTTGTCTGCAGCATTGCCTTGAGGCAGTTATCTGGTGGTTCCCAGACTCAGGACAAGGCTGTCTGCCCTGGTCCCAGGGGGCTGAGAGCAGCGCAGCCATGCAGAGCACTGTCCCATCTCCGGTGGTGGCTCTGTGGTGGTGCCAGGGGCTGCAGCTTGTCCGAGGCCTACAGCTGCACTGCCACTGTAGAGACAGAACCCTGAAGAGCCCTGCCTGCTGGGAAGTGTGGTTCTCTATCAGTGTGTTATAGTGTCATAGGCATGTTAACATAAATATTAATATGAACCACATGAACTGGAGTTGTTTGAAAGATTACATCACTTGCATTTGGCTCTTGGACTTGCGTTTGGCCACAAGTACCTAAGCAGCTTCTTAGAAGGGCCCTTTTCCTGGTCTCATTGCCTGTGTCCTCAGTGCTGGTGACTGCTCCGCTGTTACCTCACTCTTGCCATTTTCCTCCTGCAGCTGCATCATGAAGCCTCCATCATTAACCTCTTGGAGACAGTGTTTTTTTACAAGGTATGAGGCAGGTTTAGCTTTCTTCAGTGTAAAGCCCCTGGGGGTAGAAAGCCATGGCTGCGGGGGCTGGCTCTCTGTGAAACTCTTGTCATTGTGAAGGAGATCTGCGAATCAGCAGAGGACAGCATTCTGGATTTAATTGATTACTGCCACCGAAAACTGACCCTGCTTGCAGCTCGGAGCTCCAACGGACAGACAGTGACCCCAGTGGAGTTTCGTCCTGAGGATCTCGCCAGCCCCTCGTCCATGCAGGTCAGGAGAAAGTCCTGTAGCTCACTGGGGACACCTGTGATGGAGGATGTGGGCAGCCTGAAGAGGCACAGGGGGTCTTCCCATGGAGAACCCCTTGGCTGCAACCCCAGCACCTTCCACACATCTTGGAGGGCGTCTGGTGCTGGTGCTCGTCCATGCCAGCAGCTCAGCTGGGCCAGCGGCTGCACCCACCTCCCTCCACCCCGCAGCCGCGCTCCCGCCCTCTCTCGTGACAGTGCCAGCTTGAGCCTTCCTGCTCAGTCTGAGCTCTGAGGGGGGGGACACTGGAGAGTTAACAAGCAAAAATTCAGTACAGGGGCTTTGGCTGTGTGCCAAGTTGCTCTTAAAAGCTGTGTGGGTATGTCTCCCTGGAGCTTGTGAAACCACCTTAGCTCAGGCTGCCGCTGGAGCCAGCCAGGGTTAACTATGGGAGGGATCCTTCCCTAAATCGATGTACAGTACAACTAGGAATTGTCCTAACATGTTTCCCCCTAACTTCCTCGGCTCTCTGAGAAATACCTCCTCTCTGTGCTGTTCTGGGCCAGCAGTGAACCTGGAGCTGTTCCCAGTCAGGTGTTCCCGGGCTGCTGCATACCTTCCCGGTGCGGGAGCTCTCTTTGCTTCTGGTGCTTCTCAGCACCTTGAGTTTTCTCCTTAAACTGCACAGATCACGAGGAATGTCTGGAGAAGCGAGGTTAAAGTGATAGCCTGCAAGCTTGGCTGTATCTCCCTGCATTGCCTCCATCCTTTGGCTTGTTGCCCGAGCACGTGCTTCTCTTCCAGAAAAGGGAAGGAAGTGGAGGGCTCCAGAGCACAATAGGGATGTTTTCCAGGAAATGTTTTCCCAGCTGGGGAAGGGAAGGGGCTGTCTCTGTTAGTGCTTTGACGTGGCTCAAGTTAAAAAACTGACCTTTTCTAGCCAATAGGGTTCTAAAAAGCGCTCGTCTCCCAAGGAGCCTGGTTTCCTCTGATTCATTCCAGCCCCTCCTGACTCTACATGCAGTAACCCCCTATAAAAAAGCTGTTCCTGCCCTCTCCTGTGTTGTGGAGCCTGTTGTCCTTTGTGACTGTGTATGGTGGTAACCCCTGGAGCAGGACCTGTTCTGCTGTCCCCCAGAAGCACAGACAAAAGATAGTCCCTGCCTGAAGGTAGCAGAGATGAGGTCTGGATAGCAGGAGGAGCTGTAGGAAACAGCCTCACTGGGGGAGTTTGGAGAGGGAGGTTTGGGGGAAGAGCCCATAAGGCTTTCTTAGTAGCGTGTGGGGCACCGGCACGGGGAGTGCAGGGCTTCTTACCGCAGGAATTTGGAAGGGAACTCTTGCAGTGGCGCTTTAGAGAAATACGAGTTGCTGAGGTCAGTGCTCTGCACATGAAGATGTGAGCGCTGAGCGTCTGGGACTGGAGAGGAGAAGCTCTGCCTGGGCCAGGGAGAAGGACTTGGCACCTCTCAGCCTAGCTATCCCAGTGGTCTCAAAAGAGGCTGAGTCAGAGGGCGGTCAGGCTGTTAGCCTGAGCATGTGGAGGATGAACGGGGTGTCCATGATGCCTGGGAAGGGAAGGAGGCCGGATGGCTGGAGAGCATGGCGTAGCTGTGGGCTGGCATAACCACAGCCAGATATTCTAGCTGGCTATGCACAAGCTAGAGGGGAGAGGCAGATCGAGGAGGGGTGGATGGAGGACTGCAGCTGCGCCAGGGCCAAGTTTCTCCCTCCTCCCTCTCCTTTGGTTCCTCTGCTGATCATGCAGCTCCCCCGTCCCTCAACCTCACAGGTCTCTGCAGGGCCATGGACCACAAGATGATCCTAGAAGGGGAGAGAGGAGCGGTCTGGGACTGGCCTCTTTCAGGCAGTGCTGCTCATAGCCACCCGTGACCTGTTAGGGGTAGGGAGATGAGAGACGAGCAACAGTGGGCTGCAATCACTTCTGTGCTGCAATCACTTCCTGGCAAACAGGCAGCGCTGGCACAGTCAAGATGAGAAGCACAGTTTGTTTTGCAGGGCTCTGGTTTCCTCTCCAGTCTATGGTTACTGATGTGCAGACAACAAGCTGCCTCGCTGCAGCTCCTGGGAAATGGGGCCTGAAATCCTGAGGCTGTGCTTGTCCCTCCACAGGAGCTGCAGAAGCAGGCAGAGACAATGGAGTTTGAGATTTCCCTGAAAGCCCTGTCTGTGCTGCGGTTCATCACCGATCAGGTGGAGAGGTAGGTGTCCAGGAGCAGCAGAGGACATGCGCCGAGCTCTCCGGTTGAGATTCCTGGGGGGCCACAGCGGGTGCCTGGACCCCTTTCAGCAGCTGGCTGTATCGGTGGTGGCAGTGGCACTGCGCCCCGGGAGGCAAACGCAGCAGCACTCCACCTGCTCCATGGTACTCGCGGGAACCCGGATCATTGTTTTTTTCCTGCCTCTCCCAATTGCCTCAGGGAGCATTTGTATCTGTTCTGGCACTTGTCTGTGAGCGCCATTTCACCCTTTCTGTCCTATCTCCAGTCTGCCCCTGAGCGCGCTGACGCGGATGTTGAATACCCACAACTTGCCCTGCCTCCTTGTCGAGCTGGTGGAGCATTGCCCCTGGAGCTGCCGCGAAGCAGGTACGGATCGTGCCCCGTGGTGGTGCCGTGGTGGCGTGCTGGGACCTGCACCCACTGATGGGTCTGCTGCAGGAGCCCTTACAGAAAGCTGCTCCCCCTCTACCCTCTCCTCTGGCCTCCTCCCCTTGCTCCTCACCAGTGCTCCCTTCCTGAAGCTGTTCAGCTTGAAAGCAGCTGCAGCACAGCTGCGCTGGGGCAGTGTTCCCAAAAGCTGATCCTTGCACAGGGCTGTATCTCTTCTGAGCTGATCACGGCCAGGACAGGAGCAGGAGTGTAGCACATCTGCCAGCCCCACCTGCTGAGGAGTCTTGTCCTGGACGCAGAAGGACCAGAGTGCCAGTCTCAGCCTGTCTGCACCTTTCTCAGACAGCGCTAAGAGCTGGAGCCAGACATGGGCTCTCCCAGGCGGCAAACCCATTGCCCTGAAGCTGCTGGTCGTTGAGCTTTGCTCTTGCCAAAGGCCTCTGATCAGGTTGTGCCCATTGGCCGTCACCTGTGCCATCAGCCCTGCCTCCTGCACCTCTGCAGCCAGGTGTGCCCCCCCACAGCCCCCCAGCTTCCCTACTGCCTGCCTCTGAGCAGTGGTGGGGCACAGCCAGGGGCGTGGGAACCCGCACTCCCCTCCGCAGCCCGGCACTAGGAGGGTCACAGCGCGGGCAAGGGGAGGAAGAGATGCTGGGAAGCACGTGGCTGTGCGCCTGCTGAGAGGAGCCCAGCTGGATGTGGGAGCTTTCCTCCTTCCTCCGGCCAGGAAACGCATCCCTTCTCTCCGCCTGTGTGCTCGGGCTGTCAGAGAGAGCTTTGATCCAGGGCCCTGAGGGAGGGACTGGAAAGAAACAAGAGTGCAAAGGCATTTCCAGGCTGTGCAGATGCAGGGTTACATCCCCCTCCACCCCCCAGAGCAGCGCAGTAGCTCCTAGAGCTTGTTTTGTCACTTCTGTTATATTCATGCTACTTCTGGCTTTCACCGGCAGAAGAACCTCCAGAAGAGCAGGTATTGGCCATGCTGATACCCCAAAACATGCCTCTCCAGCCGTTCTGTTGCTGCAGCATGGGCTCCCCCACCATCTACCAGTGCTCTGCACTCCTGGCCAAGTACAGAGGAAGATATCACAGTTTTGGTTCCTGCCACAGGCTGTTGTTTTAATACACATTCTTTATCCTTTTCGTGCTCTCTAATACATTGTCTCAGTACCAAGAAGGCTGCTATGCTGAGCAAAGAGATGGGGAAACTGAGGCAGGCAGAAGCAGAGGGGCTTGCCTGTGGTGGAGTGAGGAAGTGAGCGTAGGCCAGCATCCCCACCTTTGAACTGTCTTCCCTCGGGCAGCGCTGTCTCTCCCTGAAGCCACGTGTTCTTCTGTCCCTCAGGCAAGCTCAAGAAGTTTGAGAATGGTGCGTGGCACGTGGTGCCCCCTGAAGACCAGGTGAAGATGACCAAACTCGATGGGCAGGTGTGGCTTGCCCTCCTCAACCTCCTGCTCAGCCCTGAATGCCAGCGCAAATACCACTTCGATGGCTTCAACAAGAGCCAGCTCCTCAAGGTAGGACCCTACACTATGAAGGCCATGGCCCCTGCAGCACTAGGCACCTCCGGGCATCTCTCCCTGTCCTCGCTGTGGGCTCCTAGGAGCCAGTGGTGGGAGAGCAGCGGGGTCTGTCACCATGCCAGCAGCAGCAAAGCTTGCGTTTGCGAGTGCATCTTGGGGGACCCCCATGGGTCACTCTGCCAGTGCCCCACAGATCCCTGCTCTTGCCATGCTGCTTCCCCAGATCTGGCTCCCTTGTCTTGACTTCTCTCCGTTCACTCTTCTCTTCCCCTTTGTGGTCACAGCTCCGTGTGTTCCTGACAGACGTCCTCATTGACCAGCTGCCCAACCTGGTGGAGATGCAGAGATTTCTGAGCCACCTCGCAGTGACAGAGCCAGCTCCCCCCAAAAAGGATCTCGTTCTGGAGCAGGTATCCTGTGGCTCTTCCTCCACCTCTCCAGCCACTCCGCTTTAAGCCCGATAGCTTCCTACCCCCTTTTGCTCCCACCAAGCTCAGCTCTGGAGAGGTGGTGCCCTGGTAAAGCAGCCAAGCACCCATTTCAGAGTTACACCCTTATTGCCAGCAAAGTTGTCCATGGATGACATGAGAGCCTTGTCCTGACCACAGTGGCCAAGCAGTCGCAGCTAAAGGCATAAATGCTGGGTTATAAACAGCTCTCCAGATCGCATTGAGTCCCTAGGGTGGTGGCTGCGTGGGACAGAGACAACCCCTGCCTTGTTTTGACAATTAACTCTTTATTTAACATTTGTTGGTGTTTTCCTAAAAGCTGAATTCTCCCCGGGGAAGAGTCCCCTTTTACAGCCCTGACCCGGGGCTGTTTGGCACACTGCATATGGAGGGATGCCAAGTTCTGGTGATAGAGGCTGGAGTCAAACTGGTCCCAGCTGGGGAATTGGGAATTGCCCCCTGAGGGTCTTCAAACAGTGTGAGGTTCTTGGGGTTTTTAATCCGTGCAGTGGTAGTCTCTGGAGAAAGGTGATTCTGCTGCCTCCCTTTTACAGCCCTGACCCGGGGCTGTTTGGCACACTGCATATGGAGGGATGCCAAGTTCTGGTGATAGAGGCTGGAGTCAAACTGGTCCCAGCTGGGGAATTGGGAATTGCCCCCTGAGGGTCTTCAAACAGTGTGAGGTTCTTGGGGTTTTTAATCCGTGCAGTGGTAGTCTCTGGAGAAAGGTGATTCTGCTGCCTTCTCATGAGCTGAGGGGAGAAACTGTGTGTGGGGCAGATCTGCAAAGAGGCAGCTGAGAAGAGCTGGGAGAGCAGGAGCTCTTCCCCACTGCTGGAGGCTCCCACGCCGCTTCCCAGAGTGGATGGGTAGGTCGGGCAGCAGCCGCTTGGGCTGTGCGGAGGGGGAGCGTGCCGCGTAGCTGGCCGCGTGGCCCGGGAGGAAGGTGACGTGCCCTGGCCAGAGCTGGCTGCAGCTGAGCCAGAGGTATGGCTTGTGCCGGGAGCTGGGGCTGGGAAAGGCTGCAGACCGGCAAGCCGAGCGGTTGGGGATGGTTTTGGATTCGCTCCACGTGCCTCGACTGCCACCGGGCTCGCGGGGGTGGGGGAGG